AATATCCCGCATTTTGTGAGCATTTTATAGTTGAACGTGAAAAAAAAAAAGAAAAGGGAAAAGAAGTTGCCATTAATAGTAAATAATTAATGAAGAAAGAGATTTGACCAAGAATTGACCTGCCATTTTTGAAAAATGGTAAATCTTTTTATATATACTAGTACAGAGCCCGTGCGATGCACGGGGTGCACAATTTTAAGGTTATTTATCCAGCCTTATAATTAAATAAATGAATAAAAAAATGTACGGGATATATATAGTACGGGACCGGTGCGAGACACGGAATATATTTATTTAGGGAATATTATATTATAAGATGCAATATTCAATAAAAGTTTTATAGTACGCAGGAAAATTATACAATAAAATAGTATCTGACAAAAAAAAATCATATATTATTAGAGACCTCATAAAAAATCATATATTATAGTACGCATGAAAATTAAGGAACTTTAAACAGCATAATTTTTTAAAAAAAATCATTTTAGAGAACTTTAAACAACATATTTACGTCACTAATAAAACATATTATATTTCAACATCAAAGTTATAATATTATTTAAGGAACTTGAAACAGCATTGTTAAATATTTACGTCCACCCATAAATTTTTTACAAGTCGAAGGTAATTAATCCCGTTTCCTTTTTATTTGTTTGTTCGTTCAATTTTTTTGACAAAAATGATATCATGGATAAAAAAATTTAATATTAAATAAATTAATTAAATAATAAAAAATAATATGCTTTAGACAGATATAGGATGCAGATAATCCTCTCATACCAAACAACGCGATTTAAAAATTGACTCAGATCCAGCAATCCTATCTAATATTTCATATAAATAAATATTAAATAAAATGCTTTAAACAAAAATTAGATAAGGAATTTTGAATCTGCCTTTTTTTTAGTATAAATAGGCTTTACGTACATTTTTTGACTTCACCGATTATGGGATTTGTTTTGACTAAATCGATGTTATTATGGAATAAGACAAATAAATAAAGTCTTTTTTATTTTAGTAAAGATTTTACATACTTGTTTATGACTTATCGGATGTTATGGATTTTTTTTCTTAAGCCGGTTTTTATTTTAGTAAATTTTTTATAGAATAACTAATATAATTTTATTATCTAACCATCAATAAAATCATATAATGATGTAGTTATTATCTTTTAAATGATAAATAATCTAATTTTTTTAAAAAAATATTAGTTTTATATAAATAACTAAAGGTTAAAAAATATTACTCGACAAATATTAATTATAATGTATATCAGTAAAATCATTGCATAAATTATTTAAGGAAAAAATCTTTAAGATCATATCTGGATAATAAATATAAATATGCAAGCATTTAATGCTTATAGTAATAAATTTCTAAATAAGGTATGCATTAAATGTGTGTTGACTTTTCTTGCTACTATTTTTGGTAAATGGATTGGCTTTTAATATATATATATAGATACTTTTATTAATTATTTCACAGTGTCTTCAAAACGTGCTTAACCAGCCAATCACTAAACAAGATTTGTGTCAAATACAGTGAGGTAAGCAAGCATTAATTTACTTACTAGTGTATAATTAAAGTATTATAGTTTATGACAATATTAAGTGATATAAATATATTCCCCTACGCACGGTGAGCAGTGCCCACTAGTTTGTTTTATATGAAAAACGTATTTTGAGAATACATTTTTCAATTAAATTTAATTGAAAAATGTATTCTCAAAATACGTTTTTCATATAAAACAAACTAGTGGGCACTGCCCACCGTGGGCAGGTGAGCGGGACTGTTAAGTGATAATTGAGAACTAATTTAAACTTTATTTTCTTATGATTAGTCTTGCTAATTAAGAACCAAATCAAAGTTTAAGATATTCTTCACATAATAATTTTGACAGTTTTGCTATGAAGCCAACAATTGGCTGTATAGTGGAGCTAACCTTCTATATACAACAAGTAAACCTACCATATAATATGATTCTTTAAATAACACTAATATAATTTCATTAATATGATAGGTTTATTTGTTGTATATAGAAAGTTGGTTCCACTATGCAGTCAACTGTTGGTTTCCTAGCAAAACTTATAATTTTGATAATATTATCAAATAAGGCGGTAAGTAGTAATGAGGGGCGATAAGTAGTAATAAGTGGACAGTATTTAGTAATTCAGATATCTATACTTATATAAAAAGTCATCTCATTTACTATAATTAGTAGGAAGAAAAGTCAAAGGTAATTAATGCATTCTATTTCCATTATTTTTTTCAATTGTATTATTATTTTATAGTTAAAAAATCGGTATGCATTAATTCCATCCTTAATTGATGTGTTTTGCAATACAATCAGGCAAATAGATTTCAAGTAAAAACATGTGTCATTTCAAATTTAAATTTGAATATTAAAATCTTATCATTTCGTTACATTAAAATATGAAATGAATTTTTTGCAATATAATCGGACAAAATAATAATTACATAGAATTCAAGTAAAAATATGTCTAATTTAAAATTTAAATTTTAAAATTCCTTATGATTTTGTTACATTTATGAAATTTGCTTCCAATAACATCGGACAAAATTAATAATTGCATAGAATTCAAGTATGATTTGAATTTATATCATGGATTTTTAATAATCGCATAGAATTTCAAAGATGTTTATTTATTATAAGAAAATTAAATTCTAAAAAAAAAAACATTTGTATATATTTTGTAAAATGTTTGTACAAAATGTTTTACTTTAAATTTATTTACATAATTTAAATTAATAACTTTAATAAATAATATTAACATACATTAAATATTTTAATTAAATAAAACAAAAAGAAGAAGAAGAATACATCTATAACTTGCATAAATAACAATAATGACATAATATTACAATAAATATTATAATAAAATAATATGAGTATTATACGAGGAACAAGATTACGTAAAATTGTTATTTTTCTTATATCAAGGAATAAATATATATATTGAAATCAAATTTATATTATTATAAATATGTGAGCGAGATAATACATTAATTTACGGGCTAGCGCTACCAGACTCATGTTTAATGTCCCGACACAAAAAATGACGTTGATGAAAAGAGGTAAAAAAATTAGATGATCACTCTATTATTTTTTAAGCCTGAACGAACAAGCTCTATGGTTCACTCATTTAATATTTCTCGTAGATCTCACGAGCTACTTAACTGACAAGCTCTGTGAAAATGACTCATTTAATACTTTTGTCTCGTGCATCGCACGGACTACATACTAGTTATTATCAAATAAGGCGGCCGATGTATCATCCTTTGCAAAGGCTCATAAAAACTGACTTTTGGTGGGGTTCACTGATTGGCGAGAGGAAAAAAGGGTAGAACGTTCAGAAATTAATTAATTAAATTGAAATTAATATAAATTTAATTTCATCTGACCTGTACTTATTTTAAAATGAAATAGAACTGTAATTATTAAATATAAATTGTGATTTTTATATTTCATTTGATTGAAATTTTGGAAGGAGATTTGATGGAAAATACAATTTTTTATAGACAATGGCAGGCGCTGAAATTTTCAAGAAAGGGATAATGAAGTAATTAATGGGATTTTTAATTGTCGAAATTGCATTAAAATTACATGATTTTTCATATCTTCGCAATTTTATCACATTGAACGTGTTCATAAACAAAAGAGTGTGTATTGAACATAAACATCTCATGATTGCAGATTCCTTACTCGTTACAACCAAAGATACTTCAAGAACGTGTACATACAATGAGTCTTGGTAGTATTTATGACCGATTATGATGATGATGTTATGATACACTCTTGAACTTATTGATGATATGTTTTTTTTTTATTGTTATTTTATCAAATTTACAGTTCATTATGATTGTGTAAATATTATATTGAGAACAAGAATAAATTTCTTCAAGATAATTAAATGGACACTATGATATTATGTATAATACTGAAACGTATATTTTTAACTCGAGTGCGCAAAACGATGTAAGAACGTGGATAAACAATATAAATAGCAGAAGCAATAAACCGAAAATGTAAAAACTCTTCAGGGAAGCATCTCACTTCACTTCAAAGCTCTTTCATTGATAAGCCGTTCACACTTGTATAGTTTGGACTTACACGACTCGAACTCCCTTCTAGTCTAGCCACAACTACCCACGATCCTATCAATTACTTCTTCGGCCATGTCCCGTGGACTTTTACCTCTCAAATCCCTCGAGCTAACATCTGTACTTAATCACTAAGTACCGATCACAAAAGTGTTTGAATGAAAAACAAAAGAAACAAAACAAACGTGTTCAGTTTTTCGATGACGTAAGAACACCGAAAACTGAACAGCGAAAATAAAATTGAAAAACTTGAAGCTCGAATATTGAATGAAAGATATTATTTCAGCAGCTTATCTTCGATCTTCAAGCAGGGTATATATACAACTCCTCAGGGTGGAGTCTTCTCCAAGTTCTTCTTTTCCTTTTAGGAGTCAATTTCCTTCTCAATTGATTGCTTTATGATTTGGACGAAATCTTCATGTAAGGCAAGTTTTCTTGATGTAGAAATCATGTATGTGATTTGGAGATCTTCAGAATTGAACTTCAAATGGAATCTTGCTTTTCCAGAATCGGGTAAGAACATGACTTTAAAAAAATAGCCGATCTTCCAAATCTTCAAAGATCTTGCGGTGAATCTTTCCAAATCCTCCTTAGATCTTCTCATGAACGTCCATAACTCTTCTTGTATGGATAGCTCATCCTTTCATAGTCATTGCCACCTATTCCTTGTCCTACAAGAAAAAAAGAACTAATTATGGCATGTGACATACATGGTAAGTAATATATAGGATATATATTATGTAATCCTTCTCCTAAAGGATTAGGATTCCATAATACATACTACAATAAATGTATATCATATATTACAGAAATTCTATGGTGCCACATGTGGCACCATATTATGGTGCCACAATATGATGTGGCACATTATGATTGGTGCCACAACTATCACACATCATGTTGTGGCACCAATCATAATGTGTCACATCATGTTGTGGCACCATAACACGTGCCACATGTGGCACCATAGAATTTCTGCCATATATTATTAATAATAAATATTAGGAACTTAATTAAATTACAAGTAAATAAATAGAAAAACTTCCCTTTAATTTATTTTGCTTGCTTAACAAGAAATCTTCTAGAAAACACTTAGGTTTGTCGGACATGATGCCAAACCAATGTTCTTACAAATACAAAACTTGATATGTCGATTTGTTAGTGCAGTAGTATATGGAAGTAAGTACACAAATTGAGAGAGTACAACCGTCATAACTCTCACTATATAGTTTATCATGTCATAATTTATTAATAGTAAAAAAAAAAATCAAGCATTAATCTGAATATTT